AGGGGCGCCTGGTGGCTCAGTTGGTTAAGTGTCCAACTTTGCTTGGGTCATGATCTCACGGTTCGTGAGTTTGAGCCCTGCGTCGGGCTCTGTGCTGACAGCTTGGAGCCTCGAGCCTGCTTCAGATTCTGTGTCTCCCTCTCCCTCTGCCCCTCACCCACTCACACTCTGTCTCTGTCTCTCAAACATAAATAAACATTTTTAAAAATTTTTAAAAAAAGATCAGTTGACCATAAATGTATAGATTTATTTCTGAACTCTCAGTTCTATTATAATTACCTCTACGTGTTTCTGCTAGTCCCACACTTGATTACTGTGGCTTTGTAATAAGTTTTGAAATTGGAAAGTGTGATTCCCCTAACTTTGTTCTTTTTCCCAATTGTTTTGAGTCCCTGGAATTTCTATGTGAATTTGAGGATCACCTTGTCACTTTCTAGCGCAGCCTTTTATAAGACTTCTTTTTTGTTCATCTTGCTCTTCCCCATCTCACCCCCTCCATCCATATCTGCTCTTTTTCCCTTTCCCCAGCAAATGGATGTTAACAACTCAGCATTTATAATCCCGCATTTCATATTTATCTCCTTGCTTATTAAGTCCTGCTTACAGACACCATGTATACATGTGTAAACACACATGTACATGCACATGAATCTGGAGGGATGGGCATTGTTTTATTAATATGGTATTATATTACACACATTTTTCTTTTATACACACACATATATATATGTACATGTACATATATGTACATATACATATACATATGTACATATGCATACATATATATACATTCATTCTCAGGCCAGTTAACATACAGTATAGTCTTGTCTTCAGGAATAGAACCCAGTGATTCATCACTTACATATAACACCCAGTGCTCATCCCAACAAGTGCCCTCCTTAATGTCCATCACCTACCTCCCCTACCCCCTCAACCCTCCCCATCAACCCTCAGTTCTCTATATTTAAGTGTCTCTTATGGTTTGCCTCCCTCTCTGTTTATATCTTATTTTTCCTTCCCTTCCTCTATGATCATCTGTTAATTTTCTCAAATTCCACATATGAGTGAAATCACGTGGTGTCTGTTTTTCTCTGGCTGACTTATTTTACTTAGCATAATACCCTCTGTTTCCATCCACGTTGTTGCAAATGGCAAGATTTCATTCTTTTCATCTCCAAGTAGTGTGTGTGTGTGTGTGTGTGTGTGTGTGTGTGTGTGTATGCACACCATCTTCTTAATCCATTCATCAGTTGATGGACAGTGGGCTCTTTCCATAATTTGATTGTTGTTGATAGCACTGGTATAAATATTGGGGTGCATGTGCCCCTTTGAATCAGCATTTTTGTATCCTTTGGATAAATTCCTAGGGGTGCAATTGCTGGGTCGTAGGGTAGTTCTGTTTTTAATTTTTTGAGGAACCTGTATATTGTTTTCCTGAGTGGCTGCACCAGTTTGCATTCCCACCCGCAGTGCAAAAGGGTTCCACTTTCTCCACATCCGCACCAACATCTGTTGTTTCTTGAGTTGTTAACTTTAGCCACTCTAACTGGTATTACACACATTTTTCTATACCTGGTTTCTCTCACTCTGCAATACCTTGAGGAAATCCCTTCAAGTCATCTAGTGTAGCACTAAATCAGTCCTCTTAAATTTTTTTTAATGTTTATTTATCTCTGAGAAAGACAGAGCATGAGCATGAGCCGGGGAGGGACAGAGAGAGAGGGCACAGAATCCAAAGCAAGCTCCAGGCTCTGAGCTTTCAGCACAGAGCCAACATGGGGGTCGAACCCACAAACCGTGAGATCATGACCTGAGCCAAAGTCGGACGCTTACCAACTGATCCACCCAAGTGCTCCCAATAAGTCCTCTTAAAGGCAACCTAGTGTTCCATGGTATGTACTACCATAATTTATTCTGCCATTCAGATATAACTGGGCATACAACTATTAATGTTTCTAAGTCTTTGTCACTGAACAAGGCCGTAATTTGTTTTTATTTCTTGGTGCTTTTATCTCAGTGGGATAGGTCCCTAGTGGTGGGATTGCTGGGTCATAGGGTATATGTATTTTAAATTTGAATATGAATTGCAAAATTGCTTTCTAACAACTATAAAACATTTGATATTTCTACCAGCAATGTATGTGAGTCCCCTACACCACCATCTCTGCCATGTGTTGTAG